TATCCCTGTATTTGCATTTCATATACTTGTCTTCGTCATCATAATATGCCTGAAGTAATATCCTTTTCCTTCCTCTCTCAGAGTTGGAACTTAGGCCATACGATGAGCGGCATGTCACGAAAACGCAGCCACGCAGAGGCCCTGGTGCCAGCCGTCGACACCAGCAAAGAGTTCAGTCTCGCACCCGTGGCTCCCCCACTCAAGAAACCAGTGAGGAACCAAATTGCTTTTCACATATCTCATTAAACTTCTTAACTATTTTGTAGATTTACTGCTATTTTTATTAATGTTTGAAAATGAATTTTCTGTTGTCATAATTTCAATTGGTAAATGTTTACAAAATATCCACATGTTTGCCCCTAGTTGACAGGACACCCAAAGGAATGCCTTTGGCCTCAACCACAAAACTAAGAAGCATCTTTATCAATTTCCTGGAAAAAAAAGCATATATCCAAGCTCCATCTTGCTAGAATGTACTTGATGGAAGGGTCTTGTCCTTTGCCAAGGTGGTAAAGGCTCCCACTTGACACTGTGCCAATTATAGGTGTGAATTCAGGTTTTCAAAGGGAGTGTTTTGTGAACGTTCGCCATTTCATTTTGCACTTCTGTTGATAAGACCCATTTTTCTGCAGGTTGTATTACTATGTTGTTGTTTTTTCATTTTAGAGTCAATGTTCTTTTTTATTGTATTTGTCTTATATGATTAGTATATGAATATTATTTCTTGTTTTCTTCTTATCACTATCATTACTATGATCATATTCCCCCATCCCGCACATATACTCAAGTGGCCTTATATTTCTGCACTGGAATAGTTTATTTAGTATAATGAAAAAGAATGTATTTCTTAACCCACTTATGACAGGTGTCACACACATGTGACACCCAGAAAAATAAACATTGCTGGGCATCCCACCGGTATGACACTGGATCAGAGCTTGCACTCTGATTCCATTGCAGACTGCAGCCAGCGCAAGGGCAGATTACGGGCCAGCCCTGCGTGCTGATTTTGAAGCCGCCCGGAAACCATTATTTTCGGCTTCAAAATATACCGTTGTTAGTGGGTTAAACATACTTCAGCATATCCAGTGATTATCTAAATCACTTTTCTCAAAAATCACCAATATCTATGCTAATTATATATCAATGTTTGTTTTTAAAAAAATGTGTATATATATATATATATATATCTATATATATATATATATATATATGTATATGTATGAATATATATATACATATAAGTATATATATATATATATATATCTATATATATATATATATATATCTATATATATATATATATATATCTATATATATATATATATATATTTATATATATATATATATATATGTATGTATATATATATATATATA